ATCAATAGAAAATATTTTTTGTGATCAATAGAAAATAAGTTAATTTAAGAGGAAAATGTTTTTTAACCTGACAAGATCAACCAGATGCATCACCATTGTTACTAGTACTACCATTATACCAGCACCACCATCACACTATTGTACCACCACCACGCTACTAACAATGTCACCACCATCATAGCATTACCACCACCCGTACCACCACAACCAAGCGCCATCATTTTTAGGATGATAGCCAAACACATGAAAATATTTCCATTGAAAAAAAAGTTCATATGGAAGAAAATTGTTTTCTATCAAAACAAACTAAGGGGTTGTTTGGGATGTTCTAAATAAGTACATTTTTGACTTTTTATGAAATATGAGTTAGGTTTGAAGTTATGTGGTGGAGAGGTAATGTGACTTAAATAAGATGATATGACTTAAATAGGATAGTGACTTTTTAGTTTTTTGACTTTTTTAGAGGATGGCAAACAAGGCCTAATTGATTGTGAGTTGTTTTGTTCACTCACATTCTTTTGTTATGCAATATCAAAAAGGCTAAAGTAACCTTAAAAAATTGATCATTAAAGACAATTACAGTCAAATTTCAACTATAACAAATGCATAGTGTAGCTAAATACCTGGTTTGCAAAGCCAACCCCAACACCAAGCAAGACACGACCAAATATGAGCATGTAGACATTAAAAGCTGCACCACCAAGGGCTGCACCGGCAAGGAAAGCAGCTCCACCAACAAGGATTGATGGTTTACGGCCAAAGGCCTTTGTGATTGATGAGGCAAAGAATGAAGCAATGAGTCCAGCCACATAGAGGGAGGATGTGAATGAGGTCAACAATTGGCTGTCAAATTTGCAGTAGTTGCTTATCTTGGTGTCCTCTTTCATTCTAGTATACACCTCTGGGAAGAATTTCTTTAGAAATGACTCCATGGAGGTCACTCCACCTTCACACAATTTTATTTACCTTGCATATCTCAGTAAAATTGTTTAAGCGTTTACATATATATAATAAGAAGTAGAATTCAATATGATAGTGGGGAACTATAAGACTGTGTTTGGTTGAGGGATTTGGGAAGGGATTTGGAAAGGAAAAGGGAAAAGGTGTGTGAAACTAGGTGAAATGTAAGTATATTTTATTCACATTTCACCTAACTTTTCTCTTTCCCTTTCCAAATTTCCCTTCTCAAATCCCCCAACCAAACACAGCATAATGCTAACTTGAGTATTTGGGATTTGCTTTTTTAATAACTTTTTTGTCGGCTTATTTTCTTTTTTAGCGAATTTTTTTTAAAAAAAAAATTCAAAAAGTTTTAGGTTTTTATATTCTACTTTACTGAATGAACTGAATTTTAAAAAAAAAAAAATCAGGAAAAATAAAAATAAGCAAAAAGCAATGAACTTTTTGACTTATTTTGAACTTTTAATTTTTTTTAGATTCATTTACATAAAGAGAACCGGAAAAGTTTTTTAAAAAAAATTTTGATATAATTTTTAAAAAAATCACTAAAAACAAAAATATTCAAAAATAAATATAACTTATTTAAGTTATCTCAATCAGTCTCGACAAAATCCCACCAAGCCATATTAGATACCAACAATGTTTTACCATTAAAAGGACCGTCACTATTGACAAATTAAAGAAAGAATGATTTAGAAGCTTAAGTTGTTTATTGTGGCATTGTAAAAGAAAATATTCTTATTCTTTCTTTCTTTTCAAATTCCTAAGGGGTGTGACAAATATTGTCTTTGGATTTTATTTTAGTTTAGTATTTTGAAAAATAAAACAATGAAAAGTTCAAAAGTTAAAATCATTTGAATTGTTTTTACAAAAACAAGTTTTGAAAATTTGTGAACAATTACTTTTTTGATGTTTCTTAAAAAATGGATTGTTTCTTTCAAAGAAATTGCTGAAAATAATTTTCAGAACAGTTAGCCAAACAAAATTTCTAAAAAACAAAAAAAATTAATGGAATTCACTTATATTTATTAACATGATCTCATAATGATAATAAAAATTTAATAAAAAATCACATTTTTGAAAATAAAAGCATAACCAAACATTTGCCATCCTGAAGTAAACCATATGTTAATTTTGACCCCAAAAATACCACATGTTGATTTGACAGAGAGAGATAGAGGGGGAGAGTGAATCTGCAAATCATGATCTGACACGTCATGAAGGGACATCATTAACAGTATCAACACGCAAACTAGGCACAAAGTCGAGCACATAAAATACATAAATAAAATTTACAAAATTTATTGGTGAAATTTATTTTTAAAAGATCCCCCTATAGATATTTTTAATTTTTTTTTCCTAAACTTATTGTTCAAATACATATTAAAACTGCCAAAAACAAAATACACAGAGTATTACAGAAAGGAACCATGTCAAATATTTTATTTATTTATTTATTTTGACCTCTGGAATATTTCATTTTCACCATATAACATATTATTAACTACTCTGTTAATCAATATATGTTGATTATTCATATAACAAATAAATAAAATAAAGGGTTATAGAGAAGAGAGACCTGAAATTCCAATATCATAGCCAAAGATGACTCCTCCCATGGCAGCCATCATGCAAGACAATACAACAAATGTAGTCATCCTTCCATTGTAGTCCCCTCCACCACCTTCTCTCCCCACTGCCATTCCCACTGCCATGTTTTCCCTCTCCTCTCTCTTTCTCTCTCACACATATGCACATAGAGAGACAGAGAAGAGAGAGAGAGAGAGAAAGCTATAAAGGAGAAGGAGAGAGGAAGTCTATCTTGACTGCTAGATATCAGTATCATTGTAAGATATTCATGCCTAAATATCATATCATTTCTTGGACTTTCAAGGGCATGTGGGGTTGAATAATCGAGTTGGAAGATTTTGTAGTCTTATGAATTTCACTATCTAAAAAAATTATTTTGTGCCAAACATGCACATGGGGTCTATGTCAAGGGGCTTTGTGGTAATGTCGCATATTACACTGAATAATTGAAAGTCAAATATTTATTTCTTTTTATGTATCATTTTTTGTCTCTTTATATTTTATGAGAGATTTTTTCAAAAATTTAATTTCTAATATGTAATAATCCATTTAGTCTTTAAGCTATCCAAAAGACACTTTAGATTTAGCACAAAAAAATGAAAATTAAATCTATATTTTAGGGAAAAAAATCATTCTAGTTTGAATACTTACCTCATTTGAATTAGAATCTATATAGCATGAGAAAATCATGGAAGCTAATAAGCATTATATTTAAAATCTTACTCTTTTAAAATTATGAAAGCTAATAAATATCTTACGGTGGTAAGTCCTGATAGGTGGTGTAAATGAAATTGTTTAAGGTGGCCTGAGTGTCCTTGGTGAAGGACCTGAAAGTCACGCGGATAGGTGTCGAGCCTTCCGGTTAATACCGATAAAAATGACAATTGGTAGTACTTGTATAGTCTACTTACAAATACCGACCTAGGGATTACCAGAGTTGTATTTACTGCCCCCTTTAATTAAATTGATAAATTTTGAATAGTTAAAGTTGCATAACATCATTGAACATGATGGTTTTCAAAAGATGAAGATGTGTTTTATTTTCAAAAAGGCATTGAGGCATGTGCATTCATCTCTTGAGACTTGTATAAAATGTATATACTTTGTTAAAGATTTCCTACTGTGCTTTATGCTCACCCTACTGGATTTTTGTGAAGGAAAAGACGTGGTGAATCCGCCTAATTGGGGGCGTGGAAATGTGTGTGTTGAGAGCACTAAAGTTGTCATTTGCTGTGATCCTATTTGTAAGCCAAGGGCTATGTATGTGTGGGTTTGAATAACCATTTTGTGTACCGGGTTTAAGCCTTGAAAGATTGTAAACCCGTGGGGGTGCTTATTTGGTTATTTACTTATTGTTGAATCAATGTAATATCGCATGAGGAACTATTATTATTATGTAATGCAAGTATGGGAAGTTATATTTGGTTTTCCTTTAAGAGAGTCATGATTGTTGCATTATCATTTGGGCTAAAAATTTGGGGCGTTACACCTTATGTTAGAATTCCAATAATCACTGAAATTAAATAACTGAGATCCTTTCATTTAAATTATAAAATAAGGATTTAATCTTTGATTCATCAAGATCTTTTGAATTTAAATGTACCCTGCCCAAGGTTTTAAAAAGCGGCCATGCCACCACCTGTTATGGCCGCTATAACAGTATAATGGAAATTCACATGTGCAACGGCCATTTCGGTGTTACGTAACTACCGTAACGGTATTGTAACGGCCGTAACGGTCCGTTATACACTTTTACAATATTCTGAATAGCTTACTTTCCAAAAACAAAAGTTTACGAAAAAAGAACAAATATTCAAGTGATCCAAGCCCAAATAAAAAATCTTATATGAATTTTTTTTTCTTTATAATTTATTTTTTATTTTTTATTTCATTACATTAGCATGTAAAATAAAAAATATATATAAATAATGGTTGTATTTATTTTTATAATCATTTTATTTTATATTTAATTGTAAATATTTTTTATTTTGTTACTGTAATATGTTGTCTAAAAAATGTCTTTAAGAAAAAAAATAAAATCAGTAGCTCAAAAATAATTTTTGTTTATGGCACTATTTTTATTTTTACAATCATTTCATTTAATATTTAATTGTAAATAATTTTATTAGTTAGTTGTAAAGTGTTAGTCTAAAAAGATGCCTAAAAAATAATTTTTGTTTATAGTACAATTTTTATTTTATAATCATTTCGTTTAATAATTGTGAATATTTTTGTTCAGTTAGTTCAGGTATTAGTCAAAAATAATTTGTAGACATTCAAAATCAATTATTCTTAAAGTCATTAACTATTGAAATAAAATGTATAAAACTCCTTTTATAGTGATTTAAAAATATAAAATATATATGATCATACTTAAAAACTAACAAAAATTTGTCAAAATCAATTTTAAACCCTAATAAATGTGATTCTAAAGGAAAGAAAAAATATGCGTATAGGTAAATTTTTTGAAATTGTGTGAAATATAAAAAAATCACGGTTCCGGTTACCACAACCATTATGCTACGGCCTTTACACCGCGCGCACCGCAACAACTTTCCATAAAAAACATTAAGAACAATAGTTAAAAATTATAAAAGCAATTTATCTTATCACTTTGGATCTGCACAAGAAAGTACTAATTTCAATCTTAAAAGTCTCAACCAAAGAAGCATGGACATGGACACATGTGGACATGCAAATTTTCAAAAAATGCATGACATATTCAAAATATATAATTTTATATAGTTATCATATGTCATATTTTTTTAATATTATATACTTATTTTATGTCAAATATTTAATCTCATCAATTTCATCAATCTTGGGTATGCTATTCCGGTAAAAATATTTTTAAAAAATAAAAATAAGACACAACTTGTCTCCAGCATGTCCAGCATGTGTGTGAAGCGTGTCCGTGTCCAACACATGGTTACTTGACCTATGGAGAAGTGTATGTCCTTCATAGGTATCAACTTATGGTGACTGGAAAAGGCATGGTTTAAATTATCAAGGTTGTTTCCTCATCCCAAAGCTAACCCCATCTGAAAATCTTGACTTATCCCCAAACTGATCAAGTACTCCAATTAGATACCATGGTAAAAGTATGCTTTTCTTGCATAATTTCCTAAAGAAAAATCATTTGACATAACAAACATGCACATACCAATATGGAACAAAATCTGTAGAGAATATATTTGGTAATACTTCTGTCTTTTGACATCCAAATAGGATCCTAAACTTACAATTTGTGAATAAATTTTCTAGTCTCATTCTTCATTCATTAGTTAATACAAAATGAAATCTCTGCATCAGAGCACCACATTCAAAAATTTAATTTAAAAAAATGAAGAAGTTCAAGAATGAGTTTTGGGAACTATATAAACATCTATTAATGTACATTAGAAATTTACCTTCGTATTTACTTTAGCACAAGAAAATATAGGAGCAACTACTTCCCAAGTTCTACATCCATTTGTTTTCCCGCTCTTTGGATTAACAAAAACCTAGTCAACACAAAGAAAGTCTGGCAAAAATGTGATACTAGTTTATGTTCATGTCATCTCCCGATGAAATGAATAATAAAGACATCAATCTGAAAAACCACAAATTGAAACATCTAACTACTGATGGTCATGGAGCATACCAGAAGACTCTTTGGTCGCTCTCGCCCCGTTTCCACATTTACAGAAGTAGTGATCTGATTAACCCACATCTGGCATGCATCCAAATCTTTGTGACCAAAAGTGTACACAGATGGGGCCCAAAGACAAGGTTGAGACTTTGACCTCTGGAACCCATGCACCACAAAGCGGTACATCTGCAGTAGATAACATAAATTTATATACCTATAAAACACAATCAAACATATGACATAAGGGAATCACAACTTCCAATCAGAGAAAAAGAACAAGAATGACCAACCTCAGATCCATGACCCAAAAGACGTCCTCCAGCATTTCCAGGAATAGATTCATGAACCAAACCCCAGTCTATATACTCAACAGCATATACATCAGAAAATTTGATATCAGTTTCTTTTTTAGAAGCAAGTTTTATGCCCAGACAAGATGATTCATTCTGCTCCTAGCACACACAAAAAGGAAGACACCATGTAAAACATCAATCCTAGCACAAGGTAAGAAAACCATTTTTAATATTAAATTAACAATACATAAAAAGGAATTTGAAATAAATAAAATGCTCCACAGCTAAGATAGTCCAGCAAATCAAAAACTAATAAGTGTGTTTGGTTTGAGTTTTTTGAATTAAGTTTTTTGAAAATTGAGTTTTTTGGTTTTCGTGTTTTTTTGTTTTTAGTGAATATTTTTAAAATTTTAAACATTTTTTTTACTTTTTAGATGCACCTTACTTAGATGTATCTAAAAAGTAAAAAATTTGTGAAAAAATATTTTTAAAAATTAATAAATACATAAAAATACAAAAAATGTACTGAATTCTCGTATTTTTTTTGTATTTTTGGTATTTAGTGAATGTTTAAAAGGTTTTTTTCAATTTTTTTTTACTTTTTAGGTATATTTATGTTAGGTATGTCTAAAAATTAAAAAAATTGCTCAAAATATTAAAAAAATTCAATAAAAACAAAAAAATACGAAAAATAAGAAAGTATAATTTTCTGAAAAGTGTTTTTGAAAAGTGGTAACCAAGCATAGTGAAAAAGCTTCTAAGAGAAAATCAGCCGGCAGAGTTTGGCGTAGGATTCTTCACATTCTTATAGCCTGGTATGAAATAGTCTTGAAAATCCAATCCTAAGGAGCTGGTTGAGCGTTAAAGACCTGAGGACAAGATCCAAGGTCTCGAGTTCGAGTCACCTCAAGGGCCACTGGAGGTATGCATGGTCGTTACCTTTAGGGCCCCAGGATTAGTCCAAATGCGCACAAGCTGGCCCGGACACTCATTTATCAAAGAAAAAAAAGTCTTCAAAATCCAACTAATAGGTAAATGGAAACATTACAATACAAACTTATAAAATCGCATTACAAAGGTTTGTAGCATTTCTTTACAATGAGAAATAAGATCCATCAAAAACATCAAATTGTATTTCATATGCTCAAAGTAAATTCAAATAGCTATTGTGTATCTATCTATATGAGGCTAGCAAAACAAACCACATTTTGACATCCAGTCTACCAAGGTGCACATAGTATCTAATAAATCAAACACTAGCCTTTTTCTAACAAACTCAATGTTCATTGGTTCTTGGTTTTACCTAAGTCATTACAGTCTATGTTTCATGGGCTCAGATATGAGTATGAACTGTGGATGCATGTCCAAGCATCAAACATTCATAAACCTAAATATTAGGATATTAGGACATATATCCAAAGTTGGATATGGATACAAGGACGTGTCATGGACACTATATATATTGCATGTTGGGTAATATTCATTAATAAAGTGTTGTAAATTATGCAAAAATGTACTTGAAATTGAATAAAATTCAGGAAAAATAAAAATAAAAATTATCTCTCATCCGTGTGAGACATAATATGAAGCTTTTTTAAACCTAATTTGCAAATATGAAGCTTTTTTTCCCCCCTTCAAATATCGTAAAATAGAGGACCCAAGTTTCTAAATTAGGTACGAGTGTGTGACATATCCCACACCTTTACCTTTATCATATCCGGTGGACACGGTACTTTGGGAGAAATATGAGAGTCCATGTAACACAAATTGCAATATCTCAACCTTGATGATTTCATTCCCATACTTCATAAGCAGCATATTCAGAGTTTTATTTTTTGCTGACCTAACACAACCCTACTTCACCCAGGCTTGGGGGTCAGCTATTAAAAGATAGGAAACCAATCTATTGCCAACTCCATATCACAATATTTCATCATATATAAAGCACAATTTAGTCACTGCTTTTATGGAGTTTCATGTTTCAACTTGAGTAAACAAAATGCAACTCAGTTAAAAAGACAACCAACATCTGTACCAATCAATATCTTGACAAATTTAAAACATTTCCCTAAAAAAACTTCAAATATAAGCTAGATTTATAGAACCACAACTCAAAAAGGATGAAATCGACTTTCAATATTTCCACAATTTCTCAAAGCAAATAAGAAATAATTAAATGTAATACATATTGAAGAATAAACTTACTAGTGCATTAGACAAGTTTTTTTTTTTTTTTTTGATTGGCACTGGGGTGTATAGATCAAAGCCCGACTAATTCCCAGGGTACACAAGCCCTCGGCAAGGAATTTTCTGCAAGTGCACCACGGTTAATACAAGGATTTTTTCCCCATCCGATGGCCCCAAAGAATTGTTAGCACAAACCTTTGAGGGAGCAGACACACCCCCAAGACCCAAGGCCTTGCCACCAAGCCAATCCCTTGGGGTTTAGTGCTTTAGACAAGTATAAAAAACAAGCCATCTTCATTATGATCATGTATTATATTGAAATCTACCCGTCTACATTATAATTGAGTTTTTTTCACAACAATAACTCGAAAAAAGTGGTAATCATTCAAAACACAGATTGCCAAGACACCGCAGCTTCTACAAATTATGTTATAATCATAACAACAAACAAAGAATATCCTCAACCAACCAAAATTCGTGATCATGAAGCAAAAGATGAAATATTTCACAAACCCACTACCTTAATTGCTCCAACAAACACAATCCTACAAATAAAATCAGTACAGACAGGGCACATATTCATTTGATATATATTTGTTCCATTATATAAATGTTTATTATGCCAATGAGAAATTCACGACACACAAGAGGTTAAAAAAATCCATATTTTTTATGTACTCATAAACAAATTAAAAAAAAAAAAAAACTTACATTGGATAGGGGTTCGATGGATTTCCAAGACAAGCCGTCGGGATTGAGGGAGAGAACAACTTCGCCGACATGGTCCAAGAAGAGAATGGGAGTGAGAATTGGGGATTGAAGCTGAATGTTGATATCTGGGGGAGATATATCTGGAACGAAACAATCGCCATTTCTCTCCATGTTTTAAGATGATCAAAATCCACACCAATATCGTCAATCTCAACCCGATTTTAACAGATACCCCCCCGCAAATAACGCTTCAGGTTGCTTTCTTTTTTTAAGCGTCTAATTGCTTTTGCTTTTGCTTTCTCCCCCAACAATACAACTCCTACGAGTTTAGTTCACGTTTGACTTCAAAACATTAAAAAAAAAAAAAAAACGCTTTTAAGATTTAGGGCAAATTACCTACATTTGCTTGAGGTGTAGTTAAATTATAAATTTTTTATCAGAAATTACATTTTGTTTTTTGAAGTTTATATTTGCGTAACAATTTAACTTCTACTGTTAACTAAATGTTAAGAATGATTAGTTGACATCACCAAAATATAAATTGATGGACGATATTACCCCTACTGAAATCTGTGATGGAAAAAAAAAATGGAAACCATATTTGATTTGTTGTTTAGAAAAAAAAATCATAATTTTAAAAATAAATTAAAAAGTAATTTAATAAAAATAAATATGAAAAAATATATTTAATTTGTAAAAATTATTTCTAATCACGCAAAAGATGAAATTATATAAAAATAATATTTATTTTTTATTTCTTAACCAAATTAATTTTTTTAAAAAATTAAAAAAATTCTAAAAATCAAACCAAACATATTCTTAGAAGTTTTTGACAAGTCATTTCTTATGTTTTTAACTTATTTAATTATTTGTTAATTTTATGATATTTTCACCATCTGACACTACAACATATAAGAGTTTTAGAGATCAATTTTTTTGATCTCTAAAAGTGAAAATTTTGTTACAAAATACATTTATAGACTAATTTCTAGCGTCGTTAAGATAATCACTAAAAAGTCAAAAATAAGACTTTTAGCGATAAAATTTTAAAAATGTCAATAATAAATAGACTTTTAGGGACAAAATAATTTAGTCTCAAAATGGTTTATTTTTTGAAATAAAAAATTTGACACCAAAAAGATAATAATTAACCACTAATATTAAATTTTCGTTATTAAAAATATAACAACGATACTTTTCGCAATAAAAATATTTGGTCCCCTAAAAATAATTTTGTCTCTAAATTTTAGTCTCTAATACATTAATTTTTTGTAGTGTGATAGTGTTTTTTCATTTTAATTTTGCATTTCATAACTTATTTAAAAATAATAATATAACTAAATCTCAAGGAGGAATCTGTAATTTAGCTAAACCTTGAGATGGTGTAAGTAATTTGCTCTTATTTGTCAAAAGGGCATTTTAGTCAATTTATGATATTCGTCAATGGTGTTAATTGCAATGGGGATGGGATGTAATTTTTGAAATGTCAAGGGGATTCTATAATTTCGTTAAACCTCGAGGGAGGAATAGGTAATTTTGCCTAAGATTTATTTGAAACATAAATTATGTTTTGTGATTTAAAAAATTACAAATGTTTACTTATTGTAATTTTTTATTTAACAGAGTTAATTAAAAATAAAATTCTTAACTATTCTCTTATATAATAATAAAATTATTTTAATTATTCATTACAATAAATTTCTAATATCATTAAAAATTATTAATTAACTTGATAATTTATTAATAAAATAGACTAATTGTTATGAGATTGTAAGCATCAAGTGGTGGGATTTAATTTTTAAAATTATAAGAGACAATTTATATTTTAAACAAATTTTAAAGAGTGTGTTTTTAATTTATCTAAAAAAAAGTTTTTATGCATTTGGCTAAAGGCATCTTCAATGTGCCCATTGGTGATACCAAAGTTTAAAAAAATGACTTTGCTTTACAAAATTAATGCTATAATGATCTAATCAAAAAATAACAAGACTCAATGTTTGGCAAAGTCATCTGGTTGCCAAAGGTTGGATTTGATTGGGTTGGGTTGAAATCATCCCAATTTCCATGACTTTAACATATAATAGTTGAATTTGACAAATAATTACAGAAGTGATTGAGACCACTAAAAAACACACCACTAAAAGCACTAAGCAAAGAGAGATAGATAAATCACACTAACTTCACATTGAAGGTATCTGAACTAATCTAAGAAAAACCCTACTTACTAAAACTCAACTCCCTACACTTAGAGAGTACTTTACTCCTTCTCCGATCACTCATTCCTACGTCGGAGGGGTTTTCCAGCCAACCCCGACCGAGCAGCCTTGATGGTGTTCTGTGTTGCAGGTCCTCGGTTCCTGAATAGTCCATTCAGTTGCGAAGCTTCGATCTACAATCATCTAGTGCGGTATTCGGTATGCACAACGTTTTAATAACAACAATGATACATCCCCTAAATAAAGGTGTTCTAATGACATAAAAAATCGAAAATATATATATATATATATATCACTATTACAGTGAAATTCATCCCAATTAAAGCTCCTAAAACTTCTTTATTAGAGCTCTAAAATATTTTTATTTTAATAAACTAACCTTTGGACTTCGACTTGGACTTCCACTGACCACCAACCGACTACCAAGTAACCAGTGGGGGGATTTTCCCCGAGTTCTGCGTTGTTTCTTACACGTTTTGCACGTGTGGGATTGCTCGGCACCACTGCATTCATTGGTCAAGTTGGTTGGTGTTAGAGTTTCTTGTAAACCCTAAATCTTCATTTATAAATAGGGGGTGATATTCTATCATTCCTTAAGCTGGTTACCCAAGCTTCATGTGTGACTTGTGATAAATTTATGAAATTACAATTTGATGTGTAATTTGGTATGGAAGGGGAATGCATATAGAAATTATTTGAAAATAATGGATAAGGAAATAGTAACTGGATAAGGGGTTGGTGATAATGAATTCACCGGGTTGTTTGTAAACTATAAGGACTAAACGTCACCTTTGTTTTGTTTTGTAATTACCCTTTTGTTTTCTTTTGAGTTTGTCTCTGCTATGGAGCCAGTTGCAACCAGGAAATCTGAATGAAACAGCTGAGGCTATCATGTTTTTCGTGCCTATTGCTACTTCGAGCTAGTTATGCCAGAAAATTTGAATGAAACGGCGGAGCATCTTACTTACTCTTCTGCACCTCGAATTCATTGCATTGACCTAAGTTCTTCGAAACTTTTTTAACACTGTGGTGATGAAAATGAAAAGGAAGGAATTCCTCGGGATTTGTAATGTTTCCGTACTGTTATGTAGGGATTGAGTCCCTAATCTGAATGATTGAATATTGTACATACTGTTCTGTACTGTTTATGTATGAATGCATGAAAAATCTTTTTGGCATACAGACTGTCACAGCTCAATGGACATTATTTATTTACTGTATTGGCTTCCGCCAGGCCCTGTACTCTGTTTTACTGTATTACTGTTAAGCAGGCCTTCGGTAATCTCGGATTACTGGCCGGTTACGGTGCTAAACCCATAGGGCCGGGTTTGGGTCGTGACAGTTTCCTATTCTCATAATTTCTTTTCTTTTCTCACCAAACCCTTCAATTCAAATGGAGTATTAACGTATATCAAGCAGTACATATAAAAAATTAAGTAAATATAATCAGATATAGTTTGAACGAAGGGTCTACTCAAGAGAACGATTGATAATTTTTTCATCAAATTATATTCGTAGATATAAAAATGAATGATAAGTATAATTTAAAATATAAAACTAAATACAAATGTGATATAATGAAACGATTATTAATATCTGATAAACTTAATCTTTTATAATTATTTTTTACTCGTTATATTATAAAAAAAAATGAACAATTTATATTAACAAAATGAATCTCGGAACATGCAATTGTGACTACTCTGCACCCATCAAGGCTTCAACAAAATTAGCAACACAAATTTGATTGGCCCATGATAGTATGTTCAGTGAAACTTTTCTTTTTAAACTGAAAATTAATTTTTTAAAAAATTAGTATATCTCTCCCCTAAATTTTAGACAATTAAAATAAATAAAGAAAAATTATAAACAACCCAATAAACTGTACTAACCAAGAGCCATACATATAGTTAGAAAAAGATTTTTATTCACAATTGCTCATATATATCTAAGGAAACTATTATGTTATGCAGTAGTTAAAATGAATAAATCATATGCACCTTATCAAATAAAATCACAACATTTTGTAATTAGTTCCACAACATCTTATAACTTTTCTTACCAAATTAGTGTGCAACATTATTCACTACAAATTATTCATAACATTTTCACCACACTATTAATTAATCACAACATTCATAACATAACCATAATAGTGCATAACCATTGCTTTAAGGACATTCATTATGAATTCATCCCTTTATAATTTTTATTATAAAATAACACAACATTTTTAGGACATTCATTATGAATTCATCCCTTTATAATTTTTATTATAAAATAACACAACATTTTTTTATAGTATATATCTCTTTTAAGACTGTATACTATGAATTTTTACTATATATATCCAACACATTTTTTGGATGGTATTCACCCGGTTTATTTTCAGTTTTCAAAAATAATTTTTTAAGTTTTCAATTCATATTTATATTTTTAATGATATTTTAAAATATTTTAATTAATTTTTTAAGTTTTTAGATTCACTTAATCTTAATATACTTAAAAAGCAAAAAAATTATACAAAAAATCTTTAAGCGTATTTATTGAATGCAATAAAATACAAAAATGTATTGAATTGTTTTTTTTTTTTTGTATTTTTTTATTTGGTGATTTTTTTAAAAGTTTTTTTAACAAATATTATACCTTTTAAGCGTATTTATTAGGTGTATCTAAAAAAAAAATCATAAAAAATTTAAAAATTTCACTAAAAACAAAAATTAAAAAAAAATATGAAAAATAAAAAACAAATAAAAAACTCAATTTTCTAAAAAGCGATGGTGATTAAATTTGTAAATTATTTTCATCTAAATAGACCAACTAAGTTGTTTCAAAGGTAATGCTACTATATGTAATTTTTTTTAAAAGTTTTTTTTAACAAATATTATACCTTTTAAGCGTATTTATTAGGTGTATCTAAAAAAAATCATAAAAAATTTAAAAATTTCACTAAAAACAAAAATTAAAAAAAAAATATGAAAAATAAAAAACAAATAAAAAACTCAATTTTCTAAAAAGCGATGGTGATTAAATTTGTAAATTATTTTCATCTAAATAGACCAACTAAGTTGTTTCAAAGGTAATGCTACTATATGTAATTATCACAAATGACATAATTTAATATTATGGGAGTCATAATTAAAAAAAAAAAAATTGAGTTACATAACCAAACATCACAGGACGTATAACCAAACAAAATTCTTGAATCATAATCAAAATAATATTATAACTAACGGTACAAGGTGTCATAACTAACAATATAATAGATCGTAACAAAAAATGTAAAAGTCTTAACCAAAGGTGCATATGATATAATTTCCCTATTTCAAATTGTCTAACGAGTTGAGTTCAAAATAAATAAATAAATTTGTCTACCAGTGACCCTTATTTAAGAAATCATGAATTTGAATCTATCAATAGCTAAAAATCTATAATTCTCACTTTCTCTGAAAGTTAATTTAAAATTTAATTCTGATAATTACTTAATATATGTGGATTAATAATAAGGTTAGAATTAGGGTTAGGTATAGGGTTATTTGAACCACACAACTCACTTAGCCCAAACCAATCTGCATACAAATGAGCGGTTTCGGAGACACAATGCAGGCGGATGTGGTTTGGAATATGGCATGATTGCGGGTTGCGAGTTTAACCCGCACCCGCAAGAACCCATGACTTTTTTTTTAAAAAACCTGATTATTGCATTTTGGATGAATGTAAAAGTTAACGAAGAATTACTTTTAGGTAAGCTTAGGATTTTAGATGATTTTATTTTAATTGTATTATTATATAGTAGATAGTGAATGAGATTGATGATCTAGTTTAGGATTTTGAAAGATGCGCTTGTGTTAGTTTATGATTTAATTTAAAAGTTTAGGATTTTGAATGATTTGTTTGTGTTAGGAATTGATTTTGTTGTGTTTTTAAGTTTATAAGTTTTAATTCATTAATTATTAATGTTGGAGCATTTTTTAAAATGGGGGAAAAAGGGCCCAAAATAAATATTTATAAAATGGGGAAAAAAAAAGGCTCCAAAATAAATTTTTAAAAGAAAAAGTCCAATCCGCAAATCACCCGCACATTCGCAAACCCTATCTACACAAACCGCAACCCGCACTGTTGACGGCAGGTTGAATTTTTCTCAAACCGCATAAATGCGGGTGAGTTCAAACCGATTCACAAATGCGGCCTTCACCCTCCCTACTTTAACGGAAAAAATTCTCACAATTTCTCAATCGGTTTGAGTTCCACAATGGTCCCATTTCAACGATTTGTACGATTTATTTTATTTAAATTAGCAGGTGGTACACGATGTGTGTGCAATTCAGATAACTAATAATAAAAACAAATAATAAATAATTTAATAGTATAATATGTGTGTTGCTTAATTGATAAGTATGTACTTAATGAAACTCAAGGTCTTGGGTTCAAAACTTGATTATGCTGTATATAATAATTTATTTATTTAGCACATATAAAGTTGCCACATGGCATAAGCAGAAGGGGATTTCACTAAACTAGTATAGACTTCACTTAATAATGGTATAGATAGATATGTGTATAGATCATCTATGAGAAAAATTAGATTATATGACAACCATATCCACATGTTTTGATGATTTTGTAAACATAAAAATCATCCATATATTTAGCTAACAAATTCATTAAAATCATTGGTTACGATTATCAGATCAATTTAATTTTTTTCATAATTAACCTACACGAATAATCGGACAAAACAAATAATTTAAACCATCAAAATAAGACCCGTGATCTCCACGAAGCCAACAGCATCTCCATTCCTTCCTGAATATCCAACATGATCATGAATAAAGACAGATAGATTGCGAAGATACATTGGTTCTGATTAGAAGGATTAAAGAAAAAAAGAGAATGGTGGCCACTTGTCAAAAATTCCAATCTAATGCTAACTTTAACTCCTAAAACTAACACCAAAATAGGGTCGTAATTTTCAATGGATCCAGCTTTTCTCATGTTTGAGATCAAGATTGGACCATCTAGTCCGGCTCATGGACCTATTTTTTGGCATCTTTTTGATAATCTGAACCGTTTAATATGTAAAACTCGTCAAGTACTATATCTCTGTAAAAAATCATCATTTAACCAAGAGTTAAGCTAAACATGGATTTAAGAATTATTTGATCTTTGAGTAGATATAGTAACATGTACTATTTTTTGGATTGTGTACTAGCTAGTTGAAAAAGAGCAACATCAAGACCAAGGGTTGGCCTGGTAGATGAGTTACTCATTTGCCATTTCCTTTCCCTATTTTTTTGTTAAAAAAAATAATAATAAAAAAAAAAAGAGCAAAATTTTTGAACAACTGAATTCTAAGGATTGAATTTCATTTTCTGTCTTGATCATCATTTCCCTGCATCTGAATTCTTACTCAGTTCATTCTCTTCCCCTACAAATCTCTTCCAAAACCAATGTTCCCTCCACACTCCGTCCATCTGTTCAATCGGCACATTCTTAGTCTCTGGCAAAAACATGTAAACAAATCCGGTCATCACCACGACCCACCCCCCGAAGAAGAAGAAAATCCAAGACTTGAAGTGGCAGAGCATGGACAAAAAAGTCTGAGCAACAATGAAAGTGAAGAGAAAGTTCACTGCCACATTGATACTTTGCCCGGCTGATCGTATCTCCAGAGGGAAAATTTCACTTGGAATTAGCCATCCCAATGGACCCCAAGACCAGCCGAACCCAGCAACATAGATGCAAATTGAAAGTATGACCACAAGAGCATACCCTCTGCTGACCCCTCCATGGTCCCCTAGCTGAGTCAACAAAAAGGCTCCAACCATTATTTGTGAGATCAACATTTGTACTCCTCCAACTATGAGTAGAGCTCTTCTGCCATATTTGTCTACTATCAACATTGATATGAAAGTTGAGCCTGTACCCACAAGCCCTGTCACAATTGCTGACATAAGCGACGCGCTTTCACCTAGGCCAATCGTCCGAAAAAGAACTGGAGCATAGAAAGCGATGACATTGATCCCAGTTACTTGTTGAAAGAATGGAATGGCTATTGACATGACCAGTTGAGGCCTATATTTCCTTTCCAGGATTTTCTTGAATGGGTGTTTGATGGTTTTTGATAAATCACTTGCTTTTATGAGATCATCTAGCTCGGCTTGGACATCTTCAGTGCCTCTGACTCGTTGCAGCATCGATTTTGCTTGTTGAAGATTGTTGCTTCGTTGAATTAGGCTATTAGGTGTTTCCGGGAGGAAAAATGCTCCTAGAGTTAAAATTGAAGCAGGGACTGCCGCCATGGCTAGGGAGATTCTCCAGCCCCATCCGCCGCTGATCTTTTCAGTACCGTAATTGATGAGATTTGCTGCTAGAGCCCCAATGCCGACGCTAAATTGGAAACCATTGTTGATTGCTCCTCTATATCTGGGTGGAGCCATTTCGGATAGATATAGTGGAACTGACTACAAAACAAGCACAGTAATGTCACATGTTAACCAAATATAGATTTTGACACACACACACACACAAAAAGGAAGAAGAAGAAGAAGAAGAACCATCTAATTGTCTTGCATTTTTTCTTTCAATTTAATGATGATGTCATTCTTTTTCTTCAGGAGTGAACATTATAATTACTCCTAGTAGACTTGTTGCTAACATGGTGAAGTAGGCTATCAGAGAGGTCTAATACAAAAAGAAAGAACGTCCTAAACATTTTACGCATTATTTTGTGTTTGATAAGACAGAAAATTTGTTAAAAAAAAGAAAAGAAAAAAGAAGATAAGATAGAAAATAAAAATCAATAAAAAATATTTTTTGTGATCAATAGAAAATAGGTTAATTTAAGAGGAAAATGTTTTTTAAACTGACAAGATCAACTAGATGCATCACCATTGTTACTACCATTATACCAGCACCACCATCACACTATTGTACCACCACCACACTACTAACAATGTCACCACCATCATAGCATTACCACCACCCGTACCACCACAACCAAGCGCCATCACTTTTAGGATGACAGCCAAACACATGAAAATATTTCCATTGAAAAAAAGGTTCATATGGAAGAAAATTGTTTTCTATCAAAACAAACTAAGGGGTTGTTTGAAATATTCTAAATAAGTGCACTTTTTGACTTTTTATGAAATATGAGTTAGGTTTGAAGTTATGTGGTGGAGAGGTAATGTGACTTAAATAAGATGATATGACTCAAATAGGATAGTGACTTTTTAGCATTTTGACTTTTTTAGAGGATGACAAACAAGGCCTAATTGATTGTGACTTGTTTTGTTCACTCACGTTCTTTTGTTATGCAATATCAAAAAGGCTAAAGTAACCTTAAAAAATTGATCATTAAAGACAATTACAATCAAATTTCAACTATAACAAATGCATAGTGTAGCTAAATACCTGGTTTGCAAAGCCAACCCCAACACCAAGCAAGACACGACCAAATATGAGCATGTAGACATTAAAAGCTGCACCACCAAGGGCTGCACCGGCAAGGAAAGCAGCTCCACCAACAAGGATTGATGGTTTACGGCCAAAGGCCTTTGTGATTGATGAGGCAAAGAATGAAGCAATGAGTCCGGCCACATAGAGGGAGGATGTGAATGAGGTCAACAATTGGCTGTCAAATTTGCAGTAGTTGCTTATCTTGGTGTCCTCTTTCATTCTAGTATACACCTCTGGGAAGAATTTCTTTAGAAATGACTCCATGGAGGTCACTCCACCTTCACACAATTTTATTTACCTTGCATATCTCAGTAAAATTGTTTAAGCGTTTACATATATATAATAAGAAGTAGAATTCAATATGATAGTGGGGAACTATAATGCTAACTTGAGTATTTGGGATTTGCTTTTTTAATAACTTTTTTGTCAACTTAATTTCTTTTTTAGCGAATTTTTTTATAAAAAAAAAATTCAAAAAGTTTTAGGTTTTTATATTCTACTTTACTGAATGAACTGAATTTAAAAAAAAAAAAATCAGGAAAAATAAAAATAAGCAAAAAGCAATGAACTTTTTTGACTTATTTTGAACTTTTAATTTTTTTTAGATTCATTTACATAAAGAGAACCGGAAAAGTTTTTTTAAAAAAAAAATTGATATAATTTTTTAAAAAATCACTAAAAACAAAAATATTTAAAAATAAATATAACTTATTTAAGTTATCTCAAACAATCTCGACAAAATCCCACCAAGCCATATTAGATACCAACAATGTTTTACTATTAAAAGGACCGTCATTATTGACAAATTAAACAAAGAAAGATTTAGAAGCTTAAGTTGTTTATTGTGGCATTGTAAAAGAAAATATTCTTACTCTTTCTTTCTTTTCAAATTCCTAAGGGGTGTGACAAATATTGTCTTCGGATTTTATTTTAGTTTTAGTATTTTGAAAAATAAAACAATGAAAAGTTCAAAAGTTAAAATCATTTTAATTGTTTTTACAAAAATAAGTTTTGAAAATTTGTGAACAATTACTTTTTTGATGTTTCTTTAAAAATGGATTGTTTCTTTCAAAGAAATTGCTGAAAATAATTTTCAGAACAGTTAGCCAAACAAAATTTCTAAAAAAAAAAATTTAATGGAATTCACTTATATTTATTAACATGATCTCATAATGATAATAAAAATTTAATAAAAAATCACATTTTTGAAAATAAAAGCATAACCAAACATTTGCCATCCTGAAGTAAACCATATGTTAATTTTGACCCCAAAAATACCACATGTTGATTTGACAGAGAGAGATAGAGGGGGAGAGTGAATCTGCAAATCATGATCTGACACGTCATGAAGGGACATCATTAACAATATCAACACACAAACTAGGCACAAAGTCGAGCACATAAAATACATAAATAAAATTTACAAAATTTATTGGTGAAATTTATTTTTAAAAGATCCCCCCTATCGATATTTTTAATTTTTTTTCCCTAAACTTATTGTTCAAATACATATTAAAACTGCCAAAAACAAAATACACAGAGAGTATTGCAGAAAGGAACCATGTCAAATATTTTATTTTATTTTATTTTTTTACCTCTGGAATATTTCATTTTCACCATATAACATATTATTAACTACTCTGTTAATCAATATATGTTGATTATTCATATAACAAAATAAATAAAATAAAGGGTTATAGAGAAGAGAGACCTGAAATTCCAATATCATAGCCAAAGATGACTCCTCCCATGGCAGCCATCATGCAAGACAATACAACAAATGTAGTCATCCTTCCATTGTAGTCCCCTCCACCACCTTCTCTCCCCACTGCCATTCCCACTGCCATGTTTTCCCTCTCCTCTCTCTTTCTCTCTCACACACATGGACATAGAGAGACAGAGAAGAGAGAGAGAGAGAAAGCTATAAAGGAGAAGGAGAGAGGAAGTCCATCTTGACTGCTAGATATCAGTATCATTGTAAGATATTCATACCTAAATATCATATCATTTCTTGGACTTTCAAGGGCATGTGGGGTTGAATAATCGAGTTGGAAGATTTTGTAGTCATATGAATTTCACTATCTAAAAAAATTATTTTGTGCCAAACATGCACATGGGGTCTATGTCAAGGGGCTTTGTGGTCATGTCGAATATTACACTGAATAATTGAAAGTCAAATATTTATTTCTTTTTATGTATCATTTTTTGTCTCTTTATATTTTATGGGAGATTTTTTCAAAAATCTAATTTCTAATATGTAATAATCCATTTAGTCTTTAAGCTATCCAAAAGACACTATAGATTTAGCACAAAAAAAATGAAAATTAAATCTATATTTTAGGAAAAAAAATCATTCTAGTTTGAATACTTACCCCATTTGAATTAGAATCTATATATTATGAGAAAACCATGGAAGCTAATAAATATCATATAAAATCTTACTCTTTTAAAATTATGAAAGCTAGTAAATATCTTACATTCACACTTTTTTATAATGTGAAAATTTAAAAATAACGCAACAAAAAATCTAAACGAAACTAAAATACAATATGAATATGAATATGCACAACAAAAAACAAGTATACAACTAACCTTTGAAAAAATAAAACACATACCAAAATACAATGTGAATGTTCAAAATAAATAACAAACATACAACTAATCTTAAAAAAAATAAAATTCATACAAAAATACAATGTAAATGTTCAAAGCTTACAATTAATATACAACTACAGTTAAAAAAACTAAATTCATACCAATGTGAACATTCACACTGCAATGTGAAAACATAAAATAAAGGGCGAATTACACTAACTGTTCCTGTAGTTTGGTACTTGTGTCACTTTAATCCCTGACCTTTCAATTGTGATACATTTGATCCTAAATTTTGAATCTCATTCCAAATAAAGACAATTGAAGACAATGTTGCTCCATTTTAAGGATAAAGTCATCAATTTGATAAAATATAAACTAGTTTGACAAAAATAAATGTCAGAAAATTATTTTAAAATTTTGAAAAAATATCTCTACTCACCAAAGATAAAATTATACAAAAATGATAAATCTTTTATATTTTTATGTTTTTACCAAATTAATTTTAGTATGTGTTTGGATGATGATCATGTAATGGGTGGTTATTTTGTTGATATTTTTGGATGGTTATCATGTAATAGATGGTTGTATTTGTTGTTAAGATATTTTTAGATGATTATCATGTAATGGATGGTTATTAAATTTTTAATATATAATCAATATGTTTAATATATGAAACATTTTTTTATTTTGAATTTTTTGATTTAATGAATTGGTTTAATAATGACATCAAAATTGTCGCTATATTTGACTTTTGAAAAAATAAAAACTAATTTAATGAAAAATAAATATCAAAAAAATTATTTAAAAAATTTATTTCTATCCTCCCAAAAGATAAAATTATATAAAAATGATATGTTTTTAGTTTTTTTTCACCAATTTAAATTTTAATTTCTTAGAAAATTTTTCTAAAAATAGATTCTGAAAATCAAACCAAAACAAACAGAAAGTTTCAACATTATTCATTAAAAAAAAGGCCATTATATTTCAAACAACATATAAATTAATTAACACAAAATAAGTTGTATGACGACTTTGCCCTTCAAATGGAATAACAATGTTTTCAATTGTCCTTATTTGGAACTTATTTGGAACGAGATTAAAAATTCAGGATCAAATGTATCATAATTGAAAAATTAGGGGTCAAAATGACACAAACCCCAAACTATAGGGATTGTTAGTGTAATTTGCCCTAAAATAAAATTGAAAAAAGTACAAATCGACTATTTCAATTATTCAGTGGTAACAAAAAATGATTGTTGAACCAACAAACGCAGTGACAAAAACAATTAACATTCGAAAAAATAAAATTTATACCAAAATATAATATGAATGTTTACAATTCATAATTAACATACAACTAGCTTTAAAATAACTAAACTCATACCAATGTGAACATTCACATTGCAATGTGAAAACACGAAGCAAAATTTTAAAAAAATAAATGAAAATCAACTATTTTGATTGTTCAATGGCAATAAAAATGATTGATCAACCAATAAACATAGTAACAAACAACTCCGACATAATACCGATGAATAAACTACACAATATCGATGACTACACAAACCGACGAATAGACTACGATTTATGCATAACAACGGCAAAAAATGATTGTTCATTATCGATTTATCATCATTTTTATTGCGAATCCATCATCATCTCTATCATCTGTCTACATGTACAACTAATCTTATCTTCTAAATGTTCTTTTATGGCAGGAGCTTATTGTAAAATAATGAAGGAAGATTTTTGATAAAGTGAATCCCTCACATTGAGGCAAAGAAAACACGATTAGTAAAAGATGTACAGAAAAGTAGAAAGAATGATGCGACAATTTATAGTGATTTTTTAACTTTTTTGCTAAAATATGAAGTTGCCAAACGAGATCTAAGAATAATAATCTTCTGTACTTATATGCAATATTATATATATATTATAATAAAAGATTGTAAGGGTAAAATAGTTCACATAATACTTCTAATATGAGAAATGATCTATTGAAATATGAATTCAAATGTATGCGACTAGATAAAGTATAAGAATATTTTGTGAATTTATTGAGTTATAAATCCTTTAAATAGGATTTATAAACAAAATTTTCAAATTTTATTGATTCATAATATCACTTTTGGACATATAAAGAGCACAAATGGGAGCAGATGATCTTGATTGGAATAATTGTTCATTGAAGAATAAAAAGGCAATATATATTATTCAATTAAATATAATCAATTCAAAAAAATATGAAAAACAATTTAAACCCATATATATACAATTTTTTTTTTGTTTGGAATGTCATGTTGTATTTGTTCTGCATGGAGCCCAAACGTCTCTAGAATGAATACAATATTGTCATATTATATTATGGACTATATTTTTTTTCCGGACATTATAGCATTATTGAAAATATTGCACCACTATGGTAAACTAATAATATTTATAAATATAAAAAATCATATCCCACAAATATTGTTAGAGAGGGAATGGGGTACCTGCTGTGCGCTATGCACAGCAGGATTTGCTGTGCTCTTAAAACGACACCGCATTGGTGCATTTTCTTGTAACCATTCACAGCTGTTGTCCTTCGAATGGGCAAGCTTTAATGCTTTTAAATTCTTTTTTTTTTTTTTCTTTTGTTTGTTTTAGTTATAAAACTTATTGAAAAAAATACTTTCTTAGATCAAAATGATAGAATCAAAATTTTTGGTTAAGGGATTTTGTAATTTCATTTTATGATGTGTGATTGTTGGTTCAAATTTAATAGAGATTGACAAACTTTGTGATATCTCATTTCTTTAATAACAACTAAGCTCTACTGATAAATAAAATAAAAATTTAAGTCAAAATCAAAATTAATTTGGGATGGCAATAAAAACAATTCTCAAAATAAATTGACATTTTGACCATTTTTTTTTTTTTTTTTTTGTCACACAATATATATACTATATGAAAAATCGATAGAACTGAAACAACCGCTTAAGACCGATTGAAAATTTAGTTTTTGGTCTGTTTTGATTTAAATTTTTTTTATATCAGTATAAAGCGAACCAACTGAAATATTTTATTTAAATATTAGTCTTTTTTAATTCAATGAGTATTACACGATAAGTGATCAATAATATAAGTTTTCTTTAATAAAAGTTAGAGAGACTTACGTATGGGTCTTAATAGGTGAACTTATTATCTAATAGGTTCTATGATAATTAATAACATTTTTTATCAAACGCTATTAAAAAATGTCACTATTGTTAATTTTTAGTGACAGTTTGAAAATTTTGTCATAAAAATGTCACTAATTATAAGTTTTAGCGACAGTTTAAAAAAATCGTCACCAAAAAAGTCGCTAATTTTCAATTTTACATAATTGTATCTTTAGTAGATAGAAATAATTTTTTTTAATTTAAAAATATTTTTTTAATATTTATTTTTGTCAAATTAGTTTATATTTTATCAAATGGACGATTTTGCTCTTAAAATTAAGTAATGATATCTTCAATTATTTTTATTTGGAACAAATTCAAAATTCATGATCAAATGTGTCACAATTGAAAAGTCTGAAACAAAAATGACACAAGTCCCAAATTATAAGAACCATTAATGTAATTCATCCTAATATAAATGATATCAAACTCCACTTAATATGATTTACAATCTTACATTGCAAAATGATACTATTTGATTATATCTCTTTGATATTAAGAAAGTAATTTTTGTAAGTCAAGTATATGTCCTATTTAGGACCATGTACAATATCGTTAAAATCGTATCTAATCGTACTAAATCACACCAAGCCATGCATTTTTTCAACTCTGGTGGGTGTGTTGGGCAGGTAGGAGTTCTAGGAGTGACGGGTCAGCGTGGATGACAGTTTGAAAATGTCAACCTGCGTAATAAACCGACCCAACCCTATTAACTAAAATAAGTGGTGTTTTGTTAAGTTGGTAAAAAGATGACTTTTGATTTTTTGACTTTTTTGATGACTTTTTTGACAAAAAACTTGATTGTTTTGTATAAAACATCCGACTTTTTTTGCTAAAAAAGTTAAAAAGATAAAAAACTGACTTTTTACTAATCTTTCCAAGGTGCCCCTAAGCAAGAGAAAAAATGAAATAAAAGATTCGAATAGCATAATCAATGGTTGCCCCTTGGGTGGACAGTGACTTTGCAACCCTCATAACAAAACGCAACATTATGGTGCCGTATAGGAGCACAGCAAATCCTGCTGTGCGCTATGCACAGCAGGTATATCGACAAATATTCAAAGATAAGAATTATATATATCCAACAAATATTCAAAGATAAAAATTAATAAGTAAAATATATTGTTGCGCTTCTCTCAAGTTAGGGAGGTTCATGAGGTTGATAAGGGAGGAATTGGGAATCCTGCTGTGACTGCTGTAAGGCCCATTGAGAACGTGATTCGAGCCTTTTTTAATAATTCGAACCGTTAATATTGTAAGATTCGCCAAGTAGATCATTCATACAAAAAATTAAGTAATTGGACATTTGTAATCTCATAATAAGAGCACATTTGTTTTTCAAAAAATAAACGGTAACTATGATTTTAATAATTTTTGAAAAACAATTAGGCCTTGATCATGGAGTTACAGATATCCGATTAATTTGATTTTTTGTATGGATGATATACTCGACAAACCTTACAATATGAACGGTTCAGATTATCAAAATACACTTGATAAATACCTCTACAAACCCTCATAGCAGCAACCCTCAACCCCATAACAGGTCTATTTTAATAATTCAAAACATTCATCATGTAGTACTCTCAATATATATCATCCATAAAAAAAAAATTAAGTCCATATAATAATTATAACTTTTTTATTTTTTCGTATTTGTTTTAAAAAAAAATAGACAACAATATATATCTTAAAATAGACCACTCATTTTTTTTAAGACAGACAATAAAATGAAAAGATTATGATTGATTATCAAATTGATTAATTTTTATGAATAATATATACGAGTAAACCTTACAAAATAAATAATTAAAATTATCAAAATAAAATATGTCTTACTCCACATGTCCTTCAAATTTAAATTTGAGAGAAACTAACTAATAAATATAAAAAAAAAAATGTTATGAACTCACCTTTACCAATTCATAATTTATCCCTAATATATTTATGTGGTAGAAATAAAATTGAGAAAATATAAAATTTATGAAAAAAATAAATTTAAACCATCAATTTATTTTTTATTTTTGGGTAATGATGAATTCATATGGAGTTGCAGGGTGATTGAATAAATATATAGAGCATGTGATTAGCAACTTGAGTACGGCTGTACACGTGCACAGTGGTCAGCAACAAAGAAAATGGGGAACAAATTAGGAGTTCAATATAGTTTTCTGCAAAGTCATGACAAAGGTAGCTTGATTGTTTACGATAAGAAAAAAGATCCGGACCCCACAGATGGTAACTCTCACGACTCTCTCTGACCTCTGATTGGTCAGTAGTTATTTTTTTTTTTTTTTTTTTTTTTTTTTTGCCTTCTCCTTCAATCACCAACTCCACGTGTGCGGGATGGTGTTGAAAGGTAGTCTCAATCACCACTCTTACGGTAAACAAATTATGACACTACTTTGAAGCAATTTATTGAGTCCTTTATATATAAATTTTTATTTTATTCGGGTAAGAGTGTTTGGTGAATTTTTTTTTTATTATAATTTATGAGATATATTAAATAAGTCAAAAATGTTGATTAATCTAAAGAATGAGTAGTGTGTATTACATAATTTAAAAAAAAATAATGAGTTATAATTAAATATTACATAAGTTATAATTATATTAAAAAAATTGATTATAAAAAAATAATAATCATAATAGGTCATTATTGACATTACAATAAGTCATAAGTAATATCATAATAGGTTATGACCAAATATTACAAATGTCATAATTCATACACATGATGTACATATCCCAAAATAGAGTGTGTATTATAGAATTTCTCGTTAGTATACCTTCGATACACGGATAAAGGGTGGCTGCTATGCCATTAGCACAACAGTCACTATTGTTCGGACTATGGGCCCACTTCGGGTTTCAATTCAATAATCTGAACCGTCATGTTTTAGATTATGTCGAGTAGAATATCCCTACCAAAAATCAAGTTGATCGGACTTCAGTAGCACCATGATCAAAACAATTTTACATTCAGTTTTATATTCAAAATTACATTTATCGTTTATTTTTACTGATACAAAATTGATTTGATCATAGCACTACCGATGTTTGATCAATTTGATTTTTTGCAAGGATGTTTTGCTCAACATATTCTAAAAAATGAAACGATTCAGATCATCAAAATGGGACCCTAAGTGAGCCCCATAGCCCCAACAGCAGTGATTGTTGTGCCAATTTCATCCTCCATACACCCCCTTAAAGGGTGTGGTAATGCTATATTTGTGTTAGTATTACACATTTTTTTATTGAAATATTTTTGAACTATAAAATATGTAACATTACAACAAAAATGTGTAATATGATCAGAAAAATGCACAATTTCATCACAAATTATCGTTTATTTTTCGCTAACCAATACCATCAAATCATGTAACTATAATTATCGAATTAATTTGATTTTTTTTTTATAATTAATCTATGCACATAATTAAAAAAATAACCAATTCAGATTGTCAAAATGGATAGCGGCGAGCCCATAAACCCCACCAACACCTTCAATCTAAAGTGGAATAGAGAAACCTCTCCTGCAACTAGATGAACCGAAGGCCAACGTAAAGTAGTCCTCTCAACCTATAAGCTTTTCAATTTTTTGTTGATCATCAAAAAAACATTTTTTTTTTTAATTTTCATTTTTCATGGCATTAAACGTTAAAAAATACATTAAAAAAAAAAAATTTATCTAAACAAACGGGGGGGATAGTATGACCTGAATTTCTTAGTTTGACCATGGATTGGATTTGATTACAAGACCAATTTTAAATTATGTCAAGTTTCCTCAACATGGACAACACAATGGCATAAATATTTTCCATATCAGATTCGAAATTGACCAGGATATCAAATAAAGACAGTTTAGGTTTGGTTTGTTCATCCCCAAGATTCACCTTGTATTTTCTTGAAACAGTCTTTTAACTGAGAAATTTACCATTTTCAGGGATCATTAGCATGCTTAAAACCTCATGGATACTTGACAGTTTTGGGCAGTTGTCGGGTACACCCGACCCTCTTCCATTGTCAACACTTGCAGCAAAATCACTATTCTTATCAAGGGCTCCCTTATGCATCACATTCTGACCTGAGATGAGCTTCTAGAAACTACTAGAGACATCTTCAGGCAGCTCGAGCACATAAAACCATTGAGAGTCGAAAAACATTTGGGTCTATTGTTCTGATACCAGACGGCGATGGCCAAAGTTGGCTGTGGAAGTGCCACACCTTGTGTCTTTCTTGTGACTTTTCTGTGTTTGTAGATTTGCACTTGATTTATAAATAAAGAACTACTATGAAAAAATAAAATCATGGACTTGTTTCATTTTACTAGTTTTATTTTCATGCTACGTAACGATTTGAATTTTAATGATATATTGCAACCAAGCTTATGCATTGGAAAGGACTCAGTATTAATGATGTTGAGAAAGTGTTGTGCTAAGAAAGAGAAAAAGCAAGCAGAAGAAAAGGGTGAATCAGTCATAATTTTTCATTGTGTAGGCTCCCTTAAACCATTGCAATATTATTGCTCAAACAGTAACAGTTACTTAAACATTTCAAATTGAGAAATTCTGAGTAGACCAAAAAAATCACATAAAGTCACAAAACAAACACAAAGGTCGGTTTGTTTCTATGTCTAGCAAAATTGTTTTGAATCTTCATGTAATAAATGAGAAAATCCATTGAATTCAAAATGACGAAGTGCTATATAGGCTTGCACATCCAGTTGTGCTATAGACGCGCATATCTTGGAAGGTTGATGCATTCAGAAAGTGCAGTAGTGAGCTTCTTCAAATCATCCAATGTGTGTGCCGCACTCAGAGTGACCCTTAACCTGAATAACATTAAAAGTCCAAACATAAAAAAATATATGGCAGGGAACATAAGCAAATAGGAAAACAAATTGTAATGGACCACATCAAAAAATATACCACAGGGAACAGAAACAAATAGGAAAATAAATTGTAATTGGCCACGGATAAAACCCAAAGTAAAACTTATCCACGATAAAGCTAAAGGAGACAAATTCTTTGACTCAAATCCAATATTTCAGTTAAAAACAGAGGCATATATTAGAGAACCTTTAGGATTCACACTCCAACCACTCACTCCATGGGAGTGGGATGGCAATGGGGCAGGGCAAGGAGGGGAGGGGCGGGGCGGAGTGGGGGTAGGGGTGTCCCGTCCCTGCCCCATTCTCGATCGTGGTGGGGATGGATGGGGAAAATCAGGGAGGTGGTAGGGGCATGTGTGAGAATAATATGTAATTATGGAAATCTATGTATTATGGAATTAGGTTGATTGTGAATATTCGATTGATTGTATTTCCTATTCTAGATTAGGGTTAGGATTCCTATAAATATTGGTTGTAATATTTGTATTATGAACAAGTTGAATATACAGAAAACATTCAGAAAAGCTTACATGGTATCAGAGCTATGTTCGTTACCTTAGTTGGTTTCCGAATCACGAATCGATAGAGGTCTCCCTCTCTTGATTTGCGATATCCTTCTTGTTCTGTTTGGTTCAAAGTTTTGATCAGGTTCATCGGCTCACGTGGTTCATCATCTCCATTGCTCTCTAATTCGTGACCCATCTGTTCGTGGTTCGTAGTCGACTCGCGTTTGGTAGTCAATCCATCTGGATTTTTCGTCTCAGTGCTTCGCGATTGCTAGTCGACTCCTCATCACGGCTCGTCTTCTGTCTTTGGCTCATCGTGATTGGTTCTCTCTCCTTTAACTTTGTCGATTGTGGTGGATTGGTTCTCACGGCTAATTATATCTTCCTTGGGTCACTATTGCTCCTTGTTCATTGTTCTCTTTGTGACCCTTCGGCATCTGCTTCGCGATTTCACTCTCCTTCTCCAGACTTTGGTTCGCATGGTCTAGAGACCTTTGGTTCTGTGGGTCTTGCTTCGATTCTAATTGTGTGTGATTGGTTCACAAGCTTTTTGGTTATTACGTTTAGACCCTTGGTTTGACTATTTTTGTTTTATTTTTACACGTAACTCCTAGGTTTTATGATTATTATGATATCTCTGGCTTTGGATGAGTGTGCCTTCTGCCATCAGAGGGGCAATTGGAAGTATAACTATCCCAAGAAGGGATGTCTGTTTGGCTGATCTTCTCAGCAGTTTCGGACCTAGTTTTGCCCGTCTTCTCTGAGTAATTTTCAGGCTCCCGCCGATTCTACTATATCTGCTCCAGCTCCTGATCCTAACTTGGCTTCTTTGAGTGCTCAGATTAGTCAACTTTAGCATACACTGTCTACCTCCCAGCCATCCACGTTTGCCTCCATTGTTTCCTATCTTCATTCAAGTTTGTTTGGGACTTCTTTAGGTATCTTTACGTCTGTCTGAATTTTTGACTCTGGTGCCTCTCGTCATATGACTCACCATGTCTTCTTACTTCAAAAGTGTACTCCCCCTCCCTCTTCTATTACTGTTAATGCTGCTAATGGGTCTAGTATGTCTGTTATATCTGTTGAGTCTATCTTACAATCTGCTATGTCTGCTATCTCTATTCTATCTATCCTTTATGTTCCTCAATTATCTGTCAGTTTATTATCTATCAGTCAGCTTGATGCCTCCAGTTTTGATGTTATCTTTTATTCTTTTATCTGTTTTGTGCAGGATCAGATGTCAAAGCAACAGATTGGGACTGGCCATAGAGTTAGAAATCTCTATGTGTTGGAGAGGTTGCATTTGCCTATGAAAACCTCTACAATTGTTTTTCCTCTTTTCAGTTAGATTCTCTGTCCAGTCATTTCTACTTGTGGCATTCTCGATTAGGGCACTTGTCTGCTGACCGTTTACGGTCTTTAGCTCAGTCAGGTATATTGGGTAAAGTTTCTCCTAATTAACTTACTGAATGTCGGGGGTGTAAACTTGCCAAAATAACAGCCTTACATTTTCGTAAAAATACTTCTATATCTGATATACCATTTTCTTTAGTTCATACTGATGCTTGAGACCCTTCTCATGTTCTCACCAAAAGGGGTTTTGCATACTATGTGTCATTTGTTGATGACTGCACCCGTTACACTTGGATTTATCTTATGACTCATAAGTCCGATTTCTATCAAATATACCGTACCTTTCAGTGTATGATTACTACTCGGTTTGGGTTTATAATTAAAATGTTATGGTCTGACTTAGGTGGGGAATATTTTAAAAATGAGTTCTGTGAGTATTTGGGTAATTTGGGTACCATTCACCAAACCTCTTGTACAGATACACCTGTCCAAAATGGTCAAGCCGAGCGTAAACACTGTCATCTCCTTGAAACAGCTATGTCTCTTCTTCTCTCTGCGTCAGTTCCATCTCCTTTTTGAAGGGAGGCAATTCTTACTGTTGCTTTTCTTCTCAACGGCATGCCTACTCCTCTTCTTTCTGGTCGGTCTCTTTATGAGGCTTTGTTCTCCCACATTCCTAATTACTCTCTCCTTTGTGTGTTTGGATCAGCCTGTTTTGTCCTTCTTCCACGCAAAAATCGGACCAAACTTAGTGTCTGGTCTATCCTATGTGTCTTTTTGGGTTATAGTCTTACTCAGAAAGGCTATCGGTGTTACGACCCTATTTCCCGTCGTCTTTATAGCTCTCGTCATGTTTCTTTTCTCGAACGTCTGCCTTACTGTCAACTTCCTCCTACCACTGCTCCCGTTTCCAAAGAGGATTTGGTTCACATTGATCCATTTCCTGATAAGTACATCTCTACCGTTCTCCATGACTTTACTCCCTTTTCTCCTCCCTCTCCCCAACCTGCTCATTCTCCTCCTCCGTTGTTAGTTTATTCGCGTCACCAGACTCTCCCTCCACCAGTTGTCTCTGCTCCTACTACTGATCCTCCTACTTCTACCGACTTTGATCCTCTTGCACACCACTATCCTACTCGAGCGCGTCATCCTCCAAACAGGTTGGGTTGGTCTAATACATGTTTTTCTGCTTCCCATCGTACTTTTTTGTTTGCTATTCATGCTTTTTTCGAACCTCAGTCTTACAAGGAGGCCTGTCAGGATCCCCTTTGAATTCAAGTTATAGAAGATGAATTGTTTGCTTTACAGAAAATTAGTACTTGAGAGTTGGTTCATTTGCCTGCTGGTAAGAATCTGATTGATTGCAAATGGGTCTACAAAGTCAAGACTCATTCTGATGGTTCTCTTAAGCGCTACAAAGCTCGTCTAGTTGCCAAAGATTTCTTATAAGAGTATGGTATTGATTATGAGGAGACCTTTGCTCCTGCTGCCAAGATGACTATTGTCCGTACTTTGATCTCTGTCGCTGCTGTTCATTCTTGGCCTCTTTATCAAATGGATGTTAAAAATGCTTTTCTTAATAGCCATCTCATCGAGAAGATTTACATGTGTCCTCCCCCTGGCCTTCACCATTCCTTTGGACAAGTTTGTCGCCTTCAGTGTGCTCTGTATGGTTCGAAGTAGTCTCCTTGTGCTTGATATGATCGCTTTTAGACTATTGTTACTACACTTGGGTTTCATCCTTGTGCTCAGGACTCTGTTTTGTTTCTTCTCCACACTTCTACTGGTTGCCTTATTACTGTAAGTGGATGATATGATCATCACTGGCTCTGACTCTTCTGCTATCTCTAAGGTCAAACAGCATCTTTTCCGCACTTTTGAAATGAAGGATCTGGATCCCTTGTAGTATTTTCTTGGTATTGAGGTAGCTTCTTCTTCCAAGGGCTATTTTCTCACTTAGGCCAAGTATGCCAATGAGGTTATTCATCGTACTAGTCTTACGGACACTAAGATTTCTGATACTCTCATTGAGCTTAATGTGAAGCTCACCCCTACTGGTGGTGTTCTTCTAGATGATCCTACTTTATATCGAGAACTCGTGGGTTGCTTAGTCTATCTGACAGTTACTTGCCCTGATCTTGCCTATGTTGTTCATGTGGTTAGTCGGTTCGTTTATGCTCCTCGTTCTACATATTAGGCTGCTTTGGTTCGGATTCTTCGCTATCTCCGAGGTACTATATTTTAGGGTTTACTGTTGTCTTCTACTTCTTCTTTGGACTTGGTAGCTTACGCTGATTTTGATTGGGCTGGTGATGTTACTGATCGCAAGTCCACTTTTGGCTTCTGCATGTTTCTTGGTGATTCCTTGATTTCTTGAAAGAGCAAGAAACAAACTGTTGTTGCGCGTTCCACTGCCGAGGCTGAGTACCGTGCTATGACTCCTGCCACTGCTGAGATTGTTTGGCTTTGTTGTCTCTTGACTGATATCGGTGTCCCTCAGTCTTCTCCGACCTCCTTTTACTGGGACAATTGCAGTGGTATTCAGATTGCACATAACACTATAAGATTGATTGTTATTTTGTACGTCAACATCTCCAGTCTGGCTCCATTTCGCTTCCTTTCGTCTCGTCGGCCTTGCAACATGCTGATTTCTTTATGAAGACTCACACCACTGCTCAATTTCAGTTTCTTCTTGGCGAACTCTTAGTGTTTTCTGCTAAAACACCTTGAGTTTGAGCGGGGGTGTGAGAATATTATGTAATTATGGAAATCTATGTATTATGGAATTAGGTTGATTGTGAATATTCGATTAATTGTATTTCCTATTCTAGATTAGGGTTAAGATTCCTATAAATATTTGTTGTAATGTTTGTATTATGAACATTCGATTAATTGTATTTCCTATTCTAGATTAGGGTTAAGACTCCTATAAATATTGGTTGTAATCTTTGTATTATGAACAAGTTGACTATACATAAAACATTCAAAAAAGCTTACAGCATGATCATGTCGGGGTATTTGCAACCTTTAGGAGAAGACGAAACTAAATGACACAGATAATATGGCATATAAGGGACAACAATTGATAAGTTACAATACTTAAAAAGATGAAAACATGAGAGATAAAGACGTGAAAATAAGAGACATGTATATATTTTGGTGTTTTAATCATTATATACTTAATAAATTATATTTTATGTATATAAAAGTTATTATTTAATATAATCGGGGTGGGGGTAGGGGGCAAGAGAGGGAAACAAATTCCATCCCCTCCCCATTTCTTATTGGGACAGGGAAAATCCATGCAAAGCAAGGCGGGGGATGTAGGGGTGGAGGCTATGAAGCACGGACACGCCTCCCAAGGCTACATATCAGAGTCCGACACGTGTTGGACACCGACACACATCCGACATGTGTTCAGCATGCCGTCTGACGTGTCCTCTGTTTTTTTTTTTGTTTTTTTTTTCATCTCAAACACGTCTGGACACTTCATTGACACGTTTGAGACACGCCTGAAGCTTTTCGAAAACTTAGCCTCAGAGAGAGAGAGAGAGAGAGAGTAGTCCCTGAATCGAATCTCCATAGCCTCTGTTCAGAGACATCCTTGAGACGAGATCCATCTGTGACACAAGGATGAGAGAGAAGAAAGCAAAGCTTCTACTGCGATGAAAGCAAAAACATCTTGCTACAACACAGAAAAGAGAGAGAGAGAGAGAAGAAGACCAAGCTTCCTTTCGAGTCTGGATCTGGACTCCTTTCTTTTTCTTCTTGCTATAACCAATGTTTGTTTACTCCAAGAAAAGGGTTAATGCTACCAGTCAAAAGGTCAAAACAGCTAAGCATCCATTAACCAATTAAATGGTCAAAACAACTATTTCAAAATATGTATATTTATATTTTTTTATGTTGATGATTGTGTGCCATGTGAGTAAAGGTGATTTTATAATGTTTAAATTTTTAGTTAATGTTAAATTGTATTTTGTTTTCATAATTTTAAAAAAAATATATTTATATATATGAGGTATATTATATAAATAAATATATATATTTTTAACGTATCCTTAACGTGTCGTGTCACTCATTTTTTGAAAATTAACATGTCAATGTGTCAATGTCGTGTCACGTGTCCGTGTTTGTGCTACATAGGGTGGGGCAAATTGCCGTCCTAGCATGCGACACCAATCAATAATGAATAATGTTATATGTACCAATTAATGTACTAATTAGTATACCAATTGATGATGTGGCATAGTTTAAGAGGTTTTTGGGATTTGTAATGTGATTAATGAGTGGGGTCAATAATAATGTTATAACTAGTGTTGGTACACTAGTTAGTACACTAATTGGTTGCATGTAGCACCACCGATCAACAATATACATGAGCAAAAAGTAATAGGTACACATAATAGATTGGGATTAACAAAATGCAAAAACCAATATATATGCATCTGACAAACCTGCATGAATTTGGGGGCACTGTTGGGGGTCTGATTGCAGTTACATGGAAACCAGATTTCAGCAGATACCTGTTCCATGATAATTGAAACAGTTAGGAACACGATATCAATGAACATTATAAAACATAAACTTGTGCGAGGAAATAGAAACAGACCGACTAGCTTGGAGTGCCTTCTCTTCACTCCCTACAACAAGAGAAATGATAGGACTTGTAATCGGGATTCCAGTGAGAGCTTGGAAGTCTTGCACACGGTTCCAAATAGCCCTTCTACGCCATGTCTCCTTTTTTGCAACAATAACAGCAGCTGCTAAGTTATACTCATTTTGTTAACGACAGACACTAAGCCCCAGTACATATGCAAAGCATACAACCATCTTGGATTCAGCACCACCATGTCAAATCTTAATTAGTTTTCCCATAATAAGCTAGATATATGATGTTAAAAAATAGAATCATAAAAAATGCAATGGCTATAGTTGCATTACATATACAGTATACAACATGACAACCCTCTGGCAGATAGTGTAATTAGAATGAAACAAAGGCCTCGTTTGGGAAGTGGCTATTTTAGAGGTTTTTTGGCTTTTTAGCTATTTTAGTAGGCTATTTTAGTTTTTGTATTTGGGAAGATGAGATGGATTTTATTTGAGTTGTTGTATTGAAAATATGTTGAAATGATGTTTGAAGTTAAAATAACAAATTTATCCCCAATAGTATAATTTTTTAAATTGATGTAAAGGGGAAAAATCGTAATTTACCCATTGATGTAACAAGTTGTCTAGCTGACAGTGTAGGCTGTGCCTACACTGCCGGCAGCTGCACCTATATATATATATATATTTTTTAATGAAAAAGGTTGAATAGTGGGGCTTTTTGGCTTATTTTGCAAATGAGGCTATATTAGCCTTAATCCTTGCTTCCCAAGCAGCGCCAAAGAGAAAAAATTGACAAAATTAAAAGTCGGTTTATTTTGTTACAAGGGTCAAACTTTGAGGTTTTTCTTTCTTTTTTTTTCTTTTTTTTTTTTTGTTGTAATTTCCCTATAATTTATTTAAATAAATATACTTCAAAGCCTCTTTGCTTGACAATTTTAACATACACTTTCTTAACAATTTATTCTAGCACCCAAAAAAAAAAAAGAGAGTAATATTTTATAATAACTGTACAATTGCGTATTGTTGAAACTTTGTACTTGTAGGAGATATGTTAGAGATACCTTCATATCTTCCAGCTTATGCAAATCCGCTGGCTATCAAAGGAAACATTCTCAACGGTGTAAATTATGCTCATCTATTTAGTGTTTTTTTATTTTAGTAAAAAAAAAAGATATTTTTATCTTTTAGATGCACATAATCTAGATGTACCTAAAACGTAAAATATTTGTGAAGAAATCTTTAAAAAGTTCACTAAAAACAAAAAATAGAAATGCATTAGTTTTTTTTTTTTTAATTTTTTTGGCCTTTGGGATTTTTTTTTTCAGATTACTTCACAAATATTTTACTTTTCAAGTGCATCTAGACTTTGCGTATCTAAAATATGAAAAAAGTTCACTAAAGACAAAAAATAAAAAAAAATACTCAGGAACAATTTTTGAGTTTGAATTCTCATCGTACATGCAGGAAGTTTTATAACAAAGAGACATTTCATTCTCAACCATATCCACAGTACTGTAATATAGCATGCATTGGACATTTCATATGTGGGTTGTGCATGTAAATAGGAACTAGCAGAGTGGAACACCAGAATCAGTCAGTAAAGCAATTTTTTCTAAATCAAATATCGCACATTAGAATGGATAAAGTTTGGTTTAATATCTACCGTGTGCAGCGGCAACAATTGGAACTGGTGTAGAAGTCGAAAATATAAAAGAGCGACCCCTCGATTGTATTAGTTGCTTCCATCTCTGACTGTTCATTTAGCATTCAAATGAAAAACATGAATTAAGCTAATACAGGATTCACACAACTGAAAGCATTTATTAAAATATGTCTATTGGAAACAAAACTACTTTTTTTTTTTTTTTTTGGAAAGAGGGAAGTATTGAGTGACAAAGGAAATGTTTAATTAACAAAAAGAATCATTACATCAAAGCTAGCATCCATTCAAGTTTTACACAACTGAAGTAGCAACATCATAGATGCATTTATTTCTTCTCACATGTTATAATTAGAAGAATTTAAACCATGTAGACAAAAAAGCACTAACGCCCTAGCAACTTAAGTTTTTGAACACAAGTTTTGAAACATGATACATAAATTAGGAGTAAGAGAAATTCAGGTATGTTGATGTGTTATTTGTAGTTCCCATTCAACTTCAACTACAAAAAAAGGAAGCTGAGGTCAACAGAGATAGTAAATGAAGTCAATGTGGCACTTTTAACCACCTAAAATAACAATAAAAAGTGCAAGGTAATTTATTGAAATCCAAGAATGACCATAGGTAAGGAACAAAATTTTGCTTCCTTTCCATCAAAACAGCTAAAATGTTTTCGTTTCCTAAGAAACCGAAACGAAACATTAGTGGAATACTGAAATATAGTGTTTCAGTGAACATTCCGAATCAATTAGTTCTTTTGACATTTATTAGGAATATCCAACAATGGTCATTTCTATTTGCCTCTTTTCGTCAAAAGAAAAATATTTGAGACAAAGCAAAATCTTAAATTTATCATAAAATTTGAGAAACTAGAAAGGAGCAAAAGAGAGATAGAGAGGAGAAGATGAAACAAGCCTCATTAAGTCACTTATTCTCTTTCTTTGTTACTACAAAACATTTTCTTCTAAAAGTTTGTCAATGATTTTTTTAATCCCTACTGCTAGTAGAATTTTGCAATTTTTTTTTTAATTTTTAATTTTTATGTTTTTCTTACAATAACAAACCTTTTCCCTAACTGTAAAGCTTTTGTTTGTAAGCTTCTAATATTCATAAACCTCAGCATGTTCAATTATTTAATTATTGAGAAGGTATTAACATTTATATAGGTTTTAATTCTTGTTTCAAACATTTTGAATTTCCAAATTCTCGTCATTTCTCTTATGTTTCTAATCGTTTTCAAAATGTTTCTAAAATGTTCTCGTTTCCAAGCTAACTAAAACAACATGCCAAAACAAAATTTTATCCATGCGAATAGGGACAAAATTGGACAAAATTGAAGGGGAGAAGGAGAGGAGGAGAAAGAGTAAACAAGAAGCCAAGAACGACGATAGGGACAAAATTGAAGGAAAAAGGAGTAAACAGTGAGCTAATTCCGTAGACAATATTAGGTGCAATCAAAATTTCAAGTGAATTGACTTAATTCCCATGGGATGAATCATGTCTGAATCTGTTTCTAATTCATCCGTGCAATGTGGACAGGGCTAGAGAGGTAGGTTTGTTCGAAGGATTTCTTGTGGGCAAAGATAGGGTTAGTGTGACACATTTGGATGATACTATTTTCTTTTCTTTGGGGGATGAAAGACAATTGGGAAATCTTTTTTTGGTGTTGAAACTTTTTGGGGTGATTTCGGGCCTCAAGATTAATCTGGAAAAAAGCAGTGTGGTTGGTATTAATGTAGATAGTGATCATCTCCAACAAGTGGCTGAGCTTTTAAGGTGAAATGTTGAGACACTTCCCATTAGATACTTGGGACTTCCATTGGGAGGTAACCCTAGAAATAAGTCATTCTGGACCAGTTGTGGAGAAGTTTGGAAAGAGATTGGAAGGATGCAATAGGGCTTTACTTTCTTGAGGAGGTAGGTTGAATCTGTTTCTATGTCATCCATGGAATGTAGACAGGGCTAGAGAGGTAGGTTTCTTCGAAGGATTTCTTGTGGGCAGAGATAGGGTTAGTGTGACACATTTACAGTTTGCGGATGATACTATTTTCTTTTCTTTGGGGGAGGAAAAACAATTAGGAAATCTTTTTTTGGTGTTGAAACTTTTTGGGGTGATTTCGGGCCTCAAGGTTAATCTGAAAAAAAGGAATGTGGTTGGTATTAATGTAGATAGTGATCATCTCCAAGGAGTGGCTGAGCTTCTAGGATGCAGTGTTGAGACACTTCCCATTAGATATAGTTTTAGAGAAGAGAAAAAGTTCGAGAATGTGTCAGACTCCATTCCCTTTTATATTGATAATTGAGCAATTACAAGCATAGTCTAAGTAATCAAAAAATGAATGAATAAGAATACAACCAATTATTTTCTATTCTAACACTCCCCCTCAAGCTGGTGTGAAGATATCTCTCATGCCCAGCTTGTTGAGAATGCCATGAAAGGATTTGCTCCCTAGTCCCATGGTGAGAATATCAGCTAGCTGGTCCCCAGTCTTCACAAAGGAATACATATGGTGCCACTAGTGAGTTTTTCCTTGATGAAATGCCTATCAATCTCCACATGCTTAGTTCTATCATGTTGAACTGGATTATGAGCTATGTTGATTGCGGCCTTGTTGTCACAGTATAGTCACATGGAGTCAGTCTGATGGATTCCCAAGTCTCCCAACAATAGTTTAATCCATAGTAACTCTGAATTTTGCCTCAGCACTAGATCTAGCCACCACATTCTGTTTCTTACTTCGCCATGTGACTAGGTTGCCACCTACAAATGTGCAGTATTCGGAAGTTGATCATCTGTCAGTGACTGATCCAGCCCAATCTGCATCAGTAAATGCCTCCACGCTAAGATAGCCGTGTTTTGAGAAATAGAGACCCTTTTCAGGAGAAGAATTCAAGTATCTCAGGATTCTCATAACAACCTCCAAGTGGAAAGTTCTAGGAGCATGCATAAACTGGCTCACTATGCTCACGGCAATGGCAATATCTGGACGTGAGTGGGATAAGTTTATGAGCTTATCCACTAGTCTCTGGTATCTCCCCCTGTCCACTGGATCTCCCTCTTGATCCTCACTCAGTTTTTGGTCTGGTTCTAGAGGTGTATCACATGGTCTACCTCCAAGCATTCCAGTTTCCTTTAGCAAGTCAAGTACATTCTTCCTCTGTGTAGAAATTTAATGTATAAAGAGAAATAGAGAATTGTATTATTGATTGATTTATATTGATATCTATTACAATGATTCATGATTCCTATATATAGAAGAGGGTGAGTGTGTAGTAGGTAAGGAGTAGGTGAAGTGGAGGTGGTAGTGGTGTAGTGGGTTAGGTTTAGTGGAGTAGGTGAGGTGGTAGTGGTGTAGTGGGTTAGGTTTAGTGGAGTAGGTTTAAGTGGGTGAAGTAGGTGGAGAGTAGGTGGATTTTAACACTCTGGCATATGAAGATGACATCCTTGGACCGAGTTACTTCAATATCCAAAAAGTACTTCAAATAGCCTAAGTTGTTGATTTCAAACTCTTTGGCTAAATATTCTTTCAAACGAGAAATCTCCTTAACATCATCTCCTGTGAGAACAACATCATCAACATAGACAATAAGAGCTGTGATCTTACCATGTAAGGAGTGTTTCACAAACAAGGTGTGATCAGCTTGACTTTGCTTGAACCCATGTTTCAGCATAGCTTGAGTAAACCGTTCAAACCAAGCCGTAGGAGACTGCTTTAGCCTATAAAGTGACTTTCAGAGGCTGCCTAGTTTGCCGTTGGACTTAGCATCTGCAAAACCAGGAGGAATATCCATATAGACTTCTTCTGCTAGATCTCCATGAAGAAAGGCATTCTTCACATCAAATTGATGAAGGGGCCAATCCAAATTTGCAGCAAGAGAGAGTAAAATTCCCACAGAATTCATCCTAGCAACCGGTGCAAATGTCTCTTGGTAATCCACCCCATAAGTCTGAGTGAAGCCCTTAGCAACCAATCTTGCTTTGTATGGTTCTATGGAACCATCTGCTTTATGTTTTACCGTGTACACCCACTTACACCCAACTAGATTTTTGCCTCTAGGTAACTCCACTAACTCCCAAGTGTCACTCTTATTGAGAGCTCTCATCTCTTCCATCATGGCATGTTTCCATTCAGGAATAGAAAGAGCATCCTAAAAATTGGTAGGTAGACTCACAGAAGATACTTTATACAGAAAAACTTTATATGAGGAAGACAGATAAGAATAAAAGACATGATTACTAATAGGATGCTGAGTACATGACCTAACCCCCTTCCTATTAGCAATGGAACATCAAGATCTGCAAAAGCAGAAATAGAAGAACTAGAATCAGAATTACTTGGACTCTCAGTAGAAGTGGGTGACTCTGGACACTCATCCAGAGAAGAAATTGGCAGTAGAGGAAGAAAAGTAGTCTCTTGCATCTAGGTGACTTGTTGTCTGTCCTTATCCCTAATATAAACTTTGTCTGCTTCCTTTTCCTCAACAACTGCTGGCTTATCATCCTCTATCTGTTAACAGGAACAGAAATCTCTTCACACCAAGGCTCCCCCTAAAGGGATGACGGTGATACTAGGGGGGTCGGAAAATAAGGCTGAGACTCAAAGAAAGTGACATCCATGGAGATAAACTATTTGCGAGTGAGAGAATGATAACACTTATAACCCTTTTTGGTGGCAGAATAACCCAGGAAAACACACTTAGGAGACCTGGGATCCAATTTACCACGAGTGGGTGAATGATTACGGACAAAGCAAACGCAGCCAAAAGTCTTAGGAGGAATGGAGAACCCGGAAGGGGTAGACCCAAACAAAACTTGAAGAGGTGTTTGTTTTTGAAGAACTTGGGTAGGAAGACGATTAATCAAATAAGCGGTAGTGAGAACCACGTCCCCCCAATAGGATCGAGGGACCCGCATCTCAAAGGATAGACAATGGGCGACATCAAGGAAATGGCGATTTTTGCGTTCTGCAACACTATTTTGTTGAGGGGTATTAGTGCATGAAGTCTAGTGAATAATGCCATGAGTGGCGAAGTAAGTGGCAAGACCAGAGTCAATATATTCCCCCCCATTATCAGAACGTAAAATTTTGAC